ATATAAAAATAATATTAAATAGAGTTAAATAATAAATGTTTATATATAGATGCTAAAATAATGTTAAACATAAATTTATATTAAGACTAAATAATTTTATTTTATTTTTTAAATGAAAACTAGAGATAATACAATATTTATTATTACTTCTACAGATAATGAAAGTGTTTTTATAATGTAAATAAATACAAATACTTTTGGTAATAAATAGACTATATTATAATAACATTTTTAATATATAACAAAAGATTTAATAAATGAAATTATAAAAATATAAAAGCATTAGTTTTCTGTTTGGGCATGTAGTATATTTAATGAAAATTTGTTTTTAAGTGGAGGAGATGATTAAAATTTAAACCTTTATGATTTAAGAATTGAAGATTATTTATTTTAATAAAATAAAAGGTTTTTATAATAAAATGAAAAAAATAACAATAAAATTGAATTTTTTTTTTTTAAATAAGATCTCATTAAATGGGTATTTGTACTATTAACTTTAATCCTTTAAATACAAATTTATTTTTTACGGGAAGGTATTTTAAAATTATATTAATATAAATTTATATATAATAATATTTATTAATAGTTATGATTAAACTTTAAGATTATGGGATATTCGTAACATAAAAAACGAAATTAAGGCTTATAAAAGAAATGGAGGAGTATGGAGAAGTGTATGGAAACCAAAAGATTGTCATAAAGCTTTATTAGGAATATATTGTTAGAATTATTTTGAAATAGTTGATTTCGAGAAAGATGATTAGCGTATTATTTATATTTTTAATATATTTTATAAATTTGTTAAACAAAATATAGAAATTAATGTTATATAAGAACTTAAAGGAAATTAGTCTTTAGCTTATTCTTGTGATTGGAGTTAAGATTAAAATTATATTTGTACATGTTCATTTTACGATAGAAATATATAATTATGGAAATACGTGTGAAAAATTACATTTTCTGTTTTTTTTTTTTTTATATAATAAAATAAAAAAATATAATTATTTATTTATTATTAATTTTAAAAATATAAAAAGATATAATTAAATTTTTTACAAAAAAATAAAAATATAAAAATTGGATGTTTTCAGAGGACGAAGATTAAGGTTATTTTGATAAAATGATACATAAATTTTAAAGATAATATAGAAGAAAAGTTGAAAAATATATTATTTATCCTAAATAAAGATGGATTTTAAGTTTAGTAATAATAATTATTTATATAATTAGAGTATATAGACATGGCGGATATTATGTTGTTTCTTATATTTATTCCTTATATGTTTTACATTTGTCAATATAATTCCTTACTCCTCAAGGTTTACCGAGTATAGATGAAGATGAAGATGATAATTTGCAATATAATTTACCTACGGATAATTTAGGAGAAGAAAAATATGAAAATAATTAAGAATAGGGTCCTTTATTAAGATCTATGACTGAATTTAAATTCTGGCATAAATTAACAATAGGAGGATTTATTAGTTTATTGTGTACTGTGAGTGATATGTTTGATTTACCGGTGTTTTGGCCTTTTTTATTTGGATATTTTATTATGCTTTTTGTTTTTACTATTAAAAGATAATATAATCATATGAATAAATATGGATATTCCATTTTTGATTTTATTAAAAAAAGCACAAAATGAATTTTTATTTTCTTAAAATATTTTATATTTTTTTATGTTTTTTATATTTTTTTGATTTATTAATTATATAAGATTAAAATACCTTTTTTTTGTTAAAAATAAAATAAAATAAAAAATATATGAACTTGGATATTATTATTTTGAATTTAATGAATTTTTATTTATTTTAATTCAATTTTATTATTGTTTTTTTTGTTTCTTTCTCAAGTTTTATATATTTTATTAAAAATCAAAAAAAATATTCTTTTTAAATAAATAATTTTTTTTTTATATTATGTATTTTTGTTAATTGATTAGAAATTAATAAAATATAAAATTATTAAAACAAAAGATGAAAAATATAATATTAATTTATATAATCAATTCAACTTTTATTAATAGTTTTAAATATAATTTATCGACTTTAATAAAAAATTTATAATATCTATATATGAAAAAAATAATAGTATTTTTAAATAAAATAAAAATATAAAAACTAGTATTATATAATGAAAATAATAAAAAATATAAAATATAAAATTAAATATAATTTATTTAATACTTATATATTAAACAAAAATAAGTAAATAATTTATAAAAAATAAAAAAAAACACAAAAATTTATATAATAAACAAGATATTTTTATTTTTCACATATTAAAAAATGATTTTTTAGCAATATTTTAATACCTAGTAGTTAAATTTCCTTATATATTTTTTTATAAAGGACTTTTATTTTTATTTTAATCATTTAAATGAGAATAACTATTTTTTACAAATTCAAAATTTGCTTATATTTATTATTCCTCTTAGAAAAATTTTTTTAGAGGTAAAATTAAATTATGTTCTTAAATTTTTTAAAAGAATTATTTAAAATTAATTTTATATTATTTATCTTCTAGTTCGTATAGTAAATTTTATAAAATCTCAATAATTTAAGCATCTACTTAAGAAATATCAATATTCTAAGAACAAATAAAACCATCTTTATTAGAATCAAAAAAATTAAAAATTACTTAAATTTTATTCAAAAATTTTTTTTCTTCAATTTATTAATGTAAATTATTTTAAGATTTCGAATGAATGCTTTTAATTTTACTACTAAGGTCAATTTAAAGTACTTATTATTTTTTTTCTTAATTTTTATTTTATATAGGTGTGTATTTATTAGGAGAAACATATGTATTTTTGCTGTTTTGAATTATATTTTTATTATTTTATTTTTAACTAAAAGGACTTACGCTTCTATTAATATTATTATCTTTTATTTACATATCTATATATTTTATTTAAAGGTTAAAATATTTTTTATATATGTATATATTTTTATTTACTTAATAATTAATCATTTAAATTAACTTATTATGAAACTTTCTAATAAGTATTTCCTTTATTAATTTAAGGCTAGAAAAGTTTTTGGTTTACTTTTTTTTTATCAATAGCGTTTTCTTCTTGTTTTATTTTTCGTATTTTTTCTTTAGTTTTAGTCGTGACTTTTTCTTATATTACCCTGTTTATACTTTATTATTAAATTTCTATTTCTGTGGATGAAACGTTTTTTATACTGCTTATATTAGGTGAAAAAGGGAAATTATTTTGACTGTTTTTTGGCGTTTATTTATTAGTTTAAGAATATATATTGTGGCATTATTTCACTTAATTATTTTGGACTGATTCTTTACTTATTTTAGATATTTATTAAGGTTAGAAAAAACAATCATCTAGTTCATACTCTTCTTTTATTTTTTTAGTTGTTATTTTCTTTTCAGTTTATTTTTTGCCATCGTTTATTAAAAAATCTTCTTTTTTAGTATTTTTGGTCATATTTTTGATTTCGGACTTATTATAGGATGAAAGTGGAGTTCTTCCTTTTATTTTTGGAGTTTTTTACTTCGTTTTCTTCTGAAATTTATTAAATCCTTCTTTTATGTTACATTCCTTCTTAATATATATATTCGTGTTGATTTTCTATATTGGAGTTTTATCTTTATTGAAAATCTAAATTATTGAAATTTTTCTCGCTTAAAAGAATTGACCACTATTAATTATTTTCATTTGTTTATTATTTCTTTTATTAAAGTTTTTAATTTAGTTATTCGGTTATATATTTTCGGCTTTTTTCTTTCTCTTCTTGTTAATCTAAATATTCATCTTCTTCAAAAAAAGTATCTTCTATATTTTTTTACGAATAACTGTGTGTTTCATGCTTTTTTAAAGTAATTTAGTCCTAAAGATATAATTATTATGATTATTAGTATATTTATTATTATGAATTTTATTATTATTATTATTAGTTTATAGATTATTTATGCTAATGTGTTTATTATTGTTAATTTAATGATTAATACTAGTTGAGTGATTTTTAAATATTTTATTATTAATTTAAGGATTCATAATGTTATGATTATTATATATTTTATTTTTAATATTCATATATTGATTATTATTAAGAATTTAATAAATATTAATTGTTATTTTCTTATTAGTTATTTAACAAATTTATTGATTAAAATTATTGTTTATTGATCGATGAGTTTATGGATTATTAAGATTATTTATTATTAATAGATTAATTTATTTATTTTTATTTCTTTTTTTATTCTTATTTATATAATTAAGTCTTTATATTTTAGACTATGTATTATATACAATCTTAATCCAATTAATGCTTTGTACAAAATTATTCAGATAAAAATTATATATCGTCCCCTTCATGTATGAATATCTAATCGTTTTTTCCATTTCCTATATCCAAGGTTATAATTGCTATTGTTTTTGGCTGTTATTATATGCTTTTTTAAATTGGTGGAATCTAAATTTGTACAGTTTCTGTATTGGAATCTTGCGAAAATGTATGGTTTATTTACTAAAATGGCATTTAGGTATATTTTTAAAAATCTAGCATTTTTTTTTTAAAAAAAAAATTTTTTTTTTTTTTTATTAATTGAAAATATATTTAGAGAGAAAATATTTTATTTTTATATTTTTAAAAATAAAAATATTATTTAATATATAATATAAATTTTAAAAATATTTATTATATATATGCGTTGTATAAAAAATATGCATATATTATTAAATTAAATACTTTTAGAAATGAATAATAATATTATATTTTTTTATTTTTATTTAATAATTAAAATAGAAATATATTATAATATTTTATTTTATTTACAACATTATTAAATCATAAACAAATTTAATAATATACAGTTAATAAAATATTAATTTTTTAATAATTTTAAGTTATAATAATATATTAACAAATCTACTCTAAAAAAAATAAAATCTACAAAATGATAAATTACCAAACTAATATTTTATAAGAAAATAAAGATCCGAAAACTCCATAAAAGTAACGAAAATCTAAAATATGTTTAACACCTAAAATAAAAACTAGATAAAATAGCTAAATAACACCAATAAGTATAAAATAATAATTAACAAAAATTAAAAAAAAATTAATAAAAATTAAAAATTAAAATTTTTTAAAAAATAAAATTAAGAATTGAATAAAAGAACATTTAGTGACTCAAATATAATTATAAATTAAAAAGTTTCAAATAATTATTCGCATCTGTTTATACATTTATTATATTCTCCATTATATAGATTAAATGAAAGTATTTATATTTATTTATTTACTTTATGCATATATAAAAAAGAACTATTAAAAAAATATTTATTATTAACTTTTCGAGGATTATAGTACTCAATAAAATGCTTAAGAAGTCCTTCAGAATAATATATTTTATAAAAATAAGTAGTTTTGAAAACTCCTAAAAATCCTAAAGGAAATATTCTTTATTTAGATTTAGATGAAACATTAATTCATGTTTGTTAAATATGGGATAATCCAGACTTTATTATATATGAAAAATATATTATTCCAATAAAAATAAGACCTTTTTGTAAAGAATTTTTATAAAAAATCGCTTAATATTGGGATATTTATATATTTACGGCTTCTCAAAAAAAATATGCAAATGCTGTTTGTGATTTTTTGGATCCATAAAGGGAATATATAATAGATATATTAACAAGGGAAAATTGTATGGAAACAAAAAACGGATTATTTATAAAAGATTTAAGGATTATAAAAGGTTTTTTTTTATTAAAAAAATAATTATTTCTATATAAATATAGATAAAGATATCAAAAAAATGGCTATTGTGGATAATTTATCTCATTCATATGGATTTTAAATAGAAAATGGAATTCCTATATTAGAATGGAAAGGAGATCAAAAAGATGAAGAATTAAAATATTTAATAAATTATTTAATAAATTTAAGTAGATAAGATGATGTAAGAATTTACAATTAAAAAAAATTAAAATTAAAAGAATTACTAAATTATACTTTTTGAGAATTATAAAAATTATAGGAGGGGAAAGGGGAAAAAAAAAAAAACTATATTATATGTATATATATATATATATTTAGTATTTTTTATATAAAAACAATATTTTAAACTTTTTTTTTTTTAATAAAAAATAAGATATTGATAATTAAAAAAAATCAAAATTCTGTTTATTCATAAATATGATCATATTTTAAAGTATGATTAAGTACATGTTATCTATCACAATTAATTCCTTGTCCACATATAGGTCTACTTTTATACTTTTAAGGTAATTAATTTTTAATCGAAGTTCTAAAGGAAAAGACTATTTGGAACCACAAAAAGGAGTCGAAACATTCTACACAAACTGCGTTTCTATTATGGAGAAGAATTTCTTTATTTTATGTATTATTTTGATATAATTTTTTATTTATTTGGAAAAGAAACTTTCCTTTATTGAGAAATTTTTTTTATATATTGGAGAATATTTCTTTAGTAGAAAATTACTTTTCAGTCATATATTAGCTTAATATCTTACATTCGGTTATATTGTTTCTTAAAATGTCTTATTATATACATTCCATTGGTTGAAAATCTTGAATAAGTTTGAGATGATTTTATTTATTTTTTATTTTATATTTTTTTAATTTAGGGCAACCATTTTTATTATATAAATTACAAAAATATATTTCACAAATCAAGCATTTTTAATTAAAACGATTGTCTTTTCGGTCCGGAAAAAAACCTTTACAAATTGAACATTAAATATGCGGAGTTTCCATTGTACATTAAAATCCATCTTCTTTTCTTTTTTATATACATTCAGTGCATTTTTAATTTTATTGTTTTTTGATTGAGTTTTCTGTTAAGAAAAGTAGGCTTTGTTTTTTTTCCATTTCTATATAGTAATTTTAATCGTTTTTTTTTTCAGGGTGATTATTTAGTATTTTTTATACGACATTATTAATAGTCGAGTTTTTATAAAAACCGGAAAATTTAGACCTACATCGGGGACATTCTTCATGCTTTTTTTATTTCCAGTCGAAAAGACAGCCACTGCACAAATTATGCATGCAAGGCTATAATGTTACACACTAAAAAATTAAATCTGAGCAAATTATACATTCGAATTCTTGGTTTAGTTCTTCTTCTTCTTCTTCTATTTTTTTTAGCTTTTTCTCAATCTCTTCTTCTGTGTTTCTTTTCTCTAATTTTATCACAAAGCCTATGCTTTCTTTCTCTTCTACTTTATGTTTGTGGAGTACGTATATTATTTCCCCGTTTTCGATACATTTTTCATTGCCTTTGCCTAGTTTATTATTTAATATGTAAGTGCCGTTAGTTGATAGGTCTTATAGAGTAACTTCATGGGACTTTTCGTCGTATTTTAGTTTACAATGGACTCCACTTAGTCTATTGTCTTTTATTATTATGGTATTTTGGGGATTTCGGCCGATCGTTATTTCATTTTGGTATAAATCTGTTTTTGGGATATATCTTTCATTTAAAGAAAGTATTTAACCCCATTTTTGGTGTTTAGTAGGTTTTTAGATTGTAAAGGAATCGTTTGGGGAATTTGCTTCGGTTTATGTTTCGGATACGGTTTTATTTATTTCGTCTTCTATATCGATTGTTTGGATTGTGTTTTTAGGATTATTCATTTTACTGATTTTTTTTTTTTTTAATTAGGAAAAATAATTGGAATTTTTTTTTTTTTTGAATTTTTTTTTTTTTTTTTTGGAAATATATTTATTATTAAACTAAAAAATACTAAATAAAATACTATATTTTTTTTTTTAAAAAAAAATGAAAAACAAAAGAAAAAAATATGTTATCTGAAAAAAAAAAAAAAATAAACATTAAATTTTTTATTTTAATTAAAAAAAAAAAACATAGAAGAAATATATAAATTTCTACGAAATACAAAAATAAAAAAATGATATAATATTCAACAAAATTATAAGAAAATAACCCTTAATAATCATAAAATATAAGCCAATTAATCGAAAATAGTAATTCATATTTAGAGGCAAAAATTAACTTTTTTAATTCGGATAAAACATAAGCTATGTAGGAGATTGAAGACGTAATAAATTCAATATCAAAGATAACAACTCCTAAAAATTCCAATTTTAAATTCGAGATGTTAATAAAGGATATAGAAACAAAAAAAACAATAAAAAATAATAATAATAAGCCAAGTTTTTCTAATTCTAAAGGTTTACAAAAAATATCGTTTTCATATATTTAATAGAGAAAAAATTTATAAAAACTTAGTTTAAAAAATTTGGAATTTAACGATAATTCTATATAAATTATAGATCTTTCCTTTAATAAATTTAGGGAAATTCCTGAAATTTTAATGTAATTTCCGAACCTAAAAGTCCTAAAATTAGATACTAATTTAATAAAAAGTATACACCAAGAGTTATTTTTTAAAGTAAAATTGGAACATTTTTCAATTAAAAATAATTTGATTTCCCATATTCCTTAAGAAATAATTATTTGGGAAAAAACACTAAAATTTCTAGATTTTTCATTAAATAGAATTGATAAAATAGACCCTGTTTGTGGCTTAAAAAAACTATAGTCTTTACATATAAATAATAACGATTTTAGGTATTTACCTTGTGATATTTGCCAATTTAAAGTTTTATAGGATTTCTCGCTTGATTGGTTTTCATATATATAGCCAGAAGGTCTTGAAAATAGATAGATAGGAAAAAAAGGAGAGAAAAATATATAGAAAATGTTCAAAATATTAAACGAATTCGAAAAAAAAGAAATTAGTTTTATCCAGTTTGTATAAAAAATGAGCCTAAATAATTTTTTCGATATAAATATTTAAATAAACGGGGCTAATCTAGTGCACAAAGCAGCAAAAAACGAAGAAATAGGTGTTTTAGTAAGTATTTTAGAAGAAAAATACAGTCTAATAAATGAGATAGACTAAGAAGGTCATAGTCCGTTGAGTTTAGCGATTTTGGAGGAGAAGTTCTTTTCTGCAAAAACATTAATAGTAAACGGTGCTGATGTAAATTTAGGAGGAGGAAAATACGGGTCATGTGTAAATCTTGCAACTGTTAAGTATTAGTATTTTCTTCTAGTAGATTTAATAAAAGAAGGGGCGGATGTGAATAGGAAAGATTAGGAAGGAAATGGAGGTTTGCATTATATAGTGGCTATATTTGATAGAGATTGGGGATATTCATTTAAGATTTGGAAGGTTTTGGTCCTTTTTGGGGCAGAGGTGAATATGAGGAATAATGAAGGGTGGGGATGTATACATTTAACAGTTAGGAAAGGACAAGAAATGGCACTTAGATGTATTTTGGAATATAATTAGGCGGTTTTAGAGGGTAAAGAGAGTATTTTTTTTTAGGAAGAAATTTAATTGTTTAATAATAAGAATTTATTTAGGAAGGAATTTTAATGTTTTAATTTAAATTTAAAAGGAGGGTTTGATAAAAATAGCATTTTACATTTAGGATGTTAGAATGTTAATTATGAAATTGTTTAGATTTTGCTAGACTTACAATAAGGATTTGGTTTAGATGTTTTTTAGAGAAACAAATAGGGAAATATTGCTAGTTAATTGTGTATTAGGAATAATTTCTTGTCTAAGATTTTTAAAAAAAAAGAAGAGGAAATTTACTTTGGGTTTTGTGCAAAATATTAAAGAGAACAAAAGTAATAAAGCGCAACTTTGTCAAATTTAGATAAAAAGAATATTGGATTATAAAGAATCTCAACTGAAGGGGATGTTTCGGAATGTATTTCAAGTTAAAAAAATAAATAAATGTAAGTCTTGTAAGGATTTTAGATTAAAAATAATAAATTCTTGAGTCAAAATAGTCTGTTTTTAATGCAAAAATAAGAAATTAAAATAGGAGATTTCGATGAAGATTTGGAAAGTGAAGATGAGTTTCTAGAAATAGACGAAATGAAATTTAATGGAGATGATTATGTTTTTTAATGTAAAAGTTAAATCTTACATTAAATTTAGAGATATGGACCGAATAATATATAATAGTTAAATTATATCTAAGAAATTAATAAAAATAATGAATAAAAATTGTATATAAATGGCTGGTAATAGAAAAATTCTAATAATAATGAAAAACAAAAAGGTAAAAAAATAAATTAAATATAAAATAATTATATAAAAATAAAAATATACTTAAATATATATATATTATATATTATATATATATATATATATATTATTTTTTAATTTAGGTTTAATTATTAATGACGGATTAGATTTTGTACATTAAATTATTTCTCCTTAGTATATAAGTTTTTTATAATATTTAATTGAAAAAGGAAATAATATGAATGAGTTTTTTAGTATTTCTTTATAGAATTATAAAAAAGGTATATTATAGGAATAAAATACACTTTTAGAGTAATTAAAATATTTGATTATTATTATTAAACTTTAAATAGAGTTTAAAAATATGTTATTTTTGATAGAAAAAGAATAAAACTTTATTAAGCTATTTCTTTAAGAAAAAGAAATGCCTGATTTTAATGTTTTTAGGAGATTAAATTTCCTTAATAATGTTATTTTGATACTTTTAGAATTAGTTTAGAATGTAAATTAAGATTGCTTGATTAAAGAATATTTAATTTATTAATTTTAATTTTATTAAAATAAATAATTAATGAATTAAGCTAAAAAAGAATGTATCTAAAAAAAAAATATTTTGGCTGCTTTTGAAGGTTTTTAAGGATTTATTTATTAAAAGTATAAAGATAGTGAATTTTTGAAAAATATTAAAAAAAAAAATCATAAATCATATTCAATTTCGGAAAGAAATAATGATGAAATAAAAAAAAATAATAAATTATTGTTTAATATAAATTAAAATAATAGTATTAGTAATATATTAATAAAAAAATTTTTACTATGAATTTTCATATTGTAAATAAATAATGTATGTATATAATAGAAACTTTTTATTAAAAATATATAAAATAAAATAATATAAAAAGAAGAAAAAAATTTTTAATAGATTTAA